CGATTTCTCAAAAAGGATTGAATGAATAGATACGAAATATTTACAGGCTCTTCTTCAGGATTTGCCGCAGTGTCCTAGCCTAGTTTCGTGGAGATTAATACTACACAAATGCGGAAAATAAATAATTTTAAATAATATGCAGGTAGATGCACAACGGCCATTATTTTTCGCCTGCTGCTAAGAGACAAGTTTCTAATATGAAGTCATCAGCGATGGGGATGAACGGATGAAGTTCTCAGATGATGAGAGGATGAATATATACTGCGTTTTGCTTGCGGAATATACTTGGCCAAGGCGTTTTAATTGGTGGCCTTTCTCATCTTCACTTTGAACAGACTACACAGACTACTACTTCTAAGCGCGGTTACAATTTTATTTTTATATCTTAGCAAAACTTAATACATCTTTATTGACTTTGTGAAAACAATCTAGACCTTTACGACTGTTGTCATCAACAAAATACTCCCATTTTTACGAACGGTAAAATAAAATTGTGGATGACGAAGATAGATAGGGTGGATAGATCATTCGGTCGCAATCGAGGAGAGAGCGAGAAAACTGTAATGACAACATTGATGATCTTCCTAACATGCCCAAGAAAACGTCAAATCCCGCAGTCAGTGCGGTTTGTTCTGATTACTCGAACACTGATGTTTATTTCAATCATAATAACCATGGACATTTTGGGGATTGGTTAAGACAATTGTGACCAGACAACAAAGTGATAAATGCATACAAAGTTGGGAACTTTCTCTTGAAGAAAACATTCAAGAACTTCGATGTCAGTAATAAAGGTATGTATAAAATAGAAGTGGCATACGAAAAACGCAATGATGCAAATCTTTTCATTTAAGATAAAGTCTTGCAGACAGGTTTAGAAAATATAAAAAAGGAATTATAAAGAAAATTCCTACAGTATGTTAAAATCCCAGTCAGAGATAGCAATTTTAGAAATCAAAAGATTAAATCGAAAGAATACAGATGCTCATGCAGGCAAAGGTGAGGAAAGGGTCTGTAGTCAAACTACACCGCTCTCGTTTGTTGATCAGACTCTCCCGACTGACAATTTTATATTCAGTGTTCTAAGTAAAGTGGAACCTGTTGTACCTCGCCCAATACAATGTTTCAAATGTTTCCACTTTGGGGAATACCGCCACATTCTATAAAGGTAAATGGCTCTAAACTAATAGAAAACGATGTTTTAAACGTCGGTTTTTGCTATTTCGAGTGATAATGAAGTATATAACAAATCAATTAAAATTCCTTATCTTGCTTATATTTTTCAGCTTTGTCTCTAGCAATTATTTATAGTCTTAATATAATAAATCAAAATGACGATTTAAACTTTGTCTTTGCTGATTCGCAAAGCGTTTTGAAGTCATTGGATGGTTGTAGTGATTTTGGATGGGGATCTCCTCCTAGTAGTCAATCGGAAGAAAAAAAATGTCTAAAATTTGGGAAAAATATTACATTCATTTGGATTCTTTCACATAAAGATCTGATAAGCAATGAATGTGCTAGCATAAAGAAACTACAAGAATTGGCAACTAATACTAATATTCCTCTTAATTTAATTTGCAAAACATATAAATCTATATGTAATGAGGAAAAAACATCGAAATCAATATCATTACGTAAAATTAAGGGAAAACATTATTTTGATACTTTTATAAGAAACCTTGGTTTTACGTGTTTGATAATCTACGCAAAGCCGTTGTCACTCTAAATCGCATTAGCAGCAACCATACGTCCCTTATCAGCAGTGCATCAAATTGTCAGTAGTAAAATTTGTGAATTTGGTGAAGGGCCTGAATGCATGGAGCATGCCTTTGGGCAATACACTTTTTTGATACTGAATGGAGAGAAATGATATTCAAGTTGCGCAAATTTAATGAGGCGTCGACAGGTGGCGCCAGCAACCGGGATAGGCCAAGGTCACGGGACCCTCTATCGCGTACGTGATTGGCCACCGCGTTATCGGCGTGGGAGAGGGCCCACGAAACCTAAAAATACCGGAGACCCAACGTACTCCTTAAAAAGATTTTTGTCGAGCTTCTTGTATAATATTTGTTCCCCGAGCTTCTTCTTTCAAATTCTATTCGCCGAGCTTCTTCAAAAGTTCTTCAGCTCTCACTTGCACACATTTTTTTCTTTGCATGTAAATTTTGAAGCTGGAGATTGTAAATTGAAATTTTGGTTTCATGTGCAATGTAAACAGAATAGCATAGATTTAGATACATTTAATTTTCCAAGGGAATTCCCAGGAGTAAGGGTAATTAGGGTAATCATTTCGGAGTCTCAATTTTGGTGTAAATTATATGTGTTCATTCATATGTGTGTGTGTTGTAAAGGTTTTCATTTGTGTTCTGCTCATTCTTTGTAAAGGTGTAATTCTATATTTTTTTGTTTTTGTCATGAAATTATGCCACTAAAAGTTTATGAGTAAATTATACGCTCGTGCGTGTGCAATCTGTGTACTTTTATTGTGTCAAGGGTTCAAACCTTTCTCGCACCCTGAAGATCCTGCTCCCTAGATTTTAAGCTCGCTTCACGAGTAAAATCTTGATAACACGCTTACGAATTGGGGTATGAGAAAGATTTATGCCAAAACACAGAATCAGGAAAAACAGTGTGTATATTCTCTTCATAATATGATAACATATAACAGCACTGAACGAAATACAAAGACCAGATAGGAAGTAATACACAAATATAACACAATATCAAATTACCCTTGAAACACTTCGAAAATTTACATCGTTTATCAACTTTGACTCGAACATCTCATCCTAATCAAATACCTTCACAAATGCTCGTGCACGGTAACTTCTGCTTGGCCAGCACCGTATGAAAGTAAAAATACGTTAAATCCCTTGCTTTGATTACTACAACACAATATATTCCTTACTTATACACAAATCTTTAATTCTAATAATAGGAAAAAATTAATGAATCACTTATCCATCTAAAACCATTCACAGTTAATTTCCTCGACAAGATTACACAGGAATGAGGAACAAATGTTTACACTGCTTTTCTCGTAAAATATAACACATGAATGAACTGTTTTACCGGTGTACAAGATTCTCTTTCAGTTATTCTGCCCGTGACCTAGTTCTTACGACAATCTAAGTGAATATGCAAATATACAACTGTACCTTTTCTACTGTTGCACTAACATTTGTGCCTCTGCAACCTCTCAATCCCTTTACAAAAACTATGTTGCCTGCGTTTGGGTGCACAGTGCGCGGCTCGCAAACCTTGCTTCATCACCGTCGCGTGACCTTGCCCCAGTTTCGGCTGTCGCCGCTCCGCTCTCCCGTCCAGATGTCCTCGACGTTGCACCAATGGTGTCGTCCCGGTCTTCCTTCCCTCGGAATCGGCTCCTACGCTCTTCTCGCTTGGCCCCCCGGGACCTTACACGTCGTCTTCTTTAGCTCTTCAGTAGCACGTCGACGCGTGATGTTCAGTCCTGACGCGTGTTACTAGCGGCGTAATCTCGGCGTACCTCGACACTTTAAACTTAGGTTGCCCAATCAAAAGTCTTACGACGCCCCGTGATAATCCAGCTAATCTTTCTCTTGACTACTGTTATTTCCGACCAAATCTATAACTGAGCCCAGTTTGAATAACTTTTGCACCACTGTCGATTTCTGTCTAATTTCCTAAACTCGCCTCAACTTCGCTAATTTCAAACAAAAACTGCTGGGCACTCTCGCATATTACAACTCGGTTCATTATAACTAGGATTTTTGTTAGGGAAACCTCACTAATGTTGTGCAAAGAGGATATTTCGTAGGTAATCTATTTTTGTGAAAGATAATGCATTATTTTTGTAGGATTAAAGTAAGAGTTTTGTTAAGTGAATTTGCATGGGATCCCAATTAGAAGCTTAAATATATTTTATAAAAGGAAGTCAGCTCGAAAAGGTGTTAAAGTAATTGATTGCAAAAAAATGTAGGTGTCATTTTGTTCTTTTGCTGCTATTGAGGATTTTACCAGAAATCATACTGTTTTACTTTCACATTCGATCCACGAACCAGTGTTTATCCTTACTTACCTCTGCGAATTTCTTCTTAACTAAATTTTTCGGTTGTGGTATCCAACCACTCCTGAGTTACATATCTCTCTCTCTCTCTCTCTCTCTCTCTCTCTCTCTCTCTC